TAAAACCCGCTTGGACGCAGCCCTGTGCCACGTGCTCTAGGTGACCCTGCGTGAGCAGGGGGGTTGGACTCGATGACCTCTGAGGTCCCTTCCAACCTTCGGCATTCTATGATTCTATGATCCCAGCCCTGCAGTAGTGCTGGGTTGTAAAGGGAGCTGCATGAGAATGTAGGTTTTTCCTCTCCTGCAAGCTACCATAGGACCCTATTTTTTAGTGTGAAAAAATATGCTGCTTGTTGCAAATAATTCCTTAATGTCCATAGCAGAAAACATAAATTTGATGTTTATATTGATGTGTAGAATCCAAAGTACATCGAGGAATTGATTTCTTTGCACTCTGCACGCTCTCTGGTCCGACTTGCTTCTGAAAGTAAGCTACACCAAAAACAGGTTTGGTTTTTGCTTGCAAGCCCTGGCAGCTTTTCCTGTTCAGGAGTGATGAATTTTAGGCTATACTTAGTAGGTTACCTTAACTATTGATTTGGGCCCTGTTTAAAAACATTCAAGAAAGATAATTTAGTTGCCCAAAGAAGAGCAGACCGGAGGAGAAGCTCACTTCTTCCATGTTGCTCCTGCCAAAAATAGAAATATGAGTCACTGGAGTGCTGAAGCTTAATATTGTGGGTGTCTGCCTATATTGTCACAATAACCTAATTTCTCAGTAATTTGAGGCCAGCCAATCCCATGATGATGGGGTGATGGCAGGAATGATCCAGTAGGTCTTTTCCACTCTTACCCGCCATGACTGACCAGTGATAAAACTGGCATCTGCAGTTTTTCTGAAACATACTTCCCTGATTCTGGTTTGAGTAATACTGTATTTTTATACAGTAAAAATACAGGTACCCATRTCACTTCTGTAAAAGTGATGGCCTGTGCTGCAAAATGTTTTCAGAACATTCTGATTTGGTGCTGCTAATTTCCAGTTGCTGTGCTCCTGATTTTGTGCACCCCTCTCCTACTTTCAGAAGGACCCTAAAGCCAAGGGTGCTTCACACATGTGAAKAGACAAAATATGTTAATCTATCATGCCAGTATATATGGGTATAAATCATTTGAAGTTTCTCCTCTGTCATTGCTGTGCTCTGCAGCTGGCCTGACGATGGAGATGTAGATGTGTGTTGGTGTGGAGGCCCTTGGCCTGGCCACCTGATTTCATTTATTGGACTGCAATGCCTAGGTCCAGGGCCCGTTGGACCAGGCTCTTGGCAGGACTCTGCTCCCTCRTATGACTTGAGGCAGAACTTGCTGGTGCAGGACGGCTGAGTGTGCCAGGAGCTGTTCCAGCTGGAGCAACTGCCTTGGGCATCAGTGTTGCTCTTCCTGCATCTTTAGGTCCTAAAGCCTGAACATTTCCTTCTCATATCAAGCAAGGCCGTTCCTGCTCATGTCAAGCTTGTGGTCCGTTTTAGGGGAGTCATTAGTTTGGTTTCCGCAGTGCAATGTCATATGGAATGTCCCCAGCACTCAAAATTTCCCCAGTTCCAGGACGTTTTTTTTTTCCACACGGCCTGCTGTTGTTTCCACATGGYTTCTCTGTCCTGCTATCCAGTTTATTGTCCAAGGCTGCTGTTAATGAGTGTGTGTAAAACAAGAGGGTTCTTGTGCTTCCTGTTTGCACTGGAGGGTGTGGACACAGGTCTTGCAGGAACTTTTCCTTTATGCCTGAGCTCAGGGAATGGGAGCCCGGAGGATACTCGCAGCTATAGGCCTCCGTGCTTGCAGATGCTGTTGGGTGAAGCAGAGCACCTCTGTGGGGCAATTACTTGTTTCCTACTTGAAAGCCCATGTTCTTTTTTTATTTAAAAAAAAAAAAAAAAAAAGGAAAGGGGAAAAAAAATGCTAGTTTCAGCCTTTTCCACCTTTGAAATTGCGGCATTTCTAATAATCCACATCAACACCCCTGTTGGTCTGCGCCCACATCGGGTTTATTACTTGTTTTTGTTATTTCTGTGTTCCCGCTTGGGAATGCGGATTCCGCTGTGTGTGCTGGGTTTCCTACATGACAGCGACTGTTGTGGTTTGTGAGGAGAAAGATGTCGCCTATCTCATTGCTTCTTCTGACATCTTAAATGGCATCAAGATGAGAGCAGTGGGCAGTGGAGATAGATGTTAAATGTTGATCATGTTCTCCCTAGTGAGTGAATATTCTCTCTCTCACTCGCTCTTTTTTTCTTTTTTTCCTTTTTTTTTTTTAATTTGTACTTTTATTAAACTGGTAGGATGCCAACAACACTTACCCACCAGTGTCCTGAGGTTCACCTACATCTTTCTCAGGCCCCAGAGCTCTGAGCGAGTGACTTGAATACTTGTGTCAAGAGTGAAGGAATCCCTCCCTCCCCTGCCCTGGAATATCTGGGTTTCGGTTTGGGGAAAACAATACATTTAGATGCCATTCCTCAGCTTTTATTTGGGCTTAAGTGGTTGCAGTCATGGAAGCACAAAAGACTAGCAGCAGATTCTTTTGAATGCTGTTGTGTTCTTGTATCTCAAAGAACTTGCACAGGAGCTTTTATGATGTGCATATAAACTGTGCAGCAGCTAGTGCTCTGGCCACAGCAGCTGCTTTGGGCATGTTGTTYGCGCTTCAAAGTGGCTTTGCTTTATGTTGGTAGCTGTGTTCTGGAATTGGTGAGTAAAATGGCAAAAAGACAAGATTGATAGATTTTTGGAGTTTGATAGATTCCACTAAAAAGGCACATGTGCTTTTCTGTCCCCAAACATGGCTAAAATTATACTTCTAAAGACACCTATAACCACTCCCTGTTTTGCACTTAAATGATAGGCATCTAAGTGATGGCATCGACACTGATAGGTTCTTCCTGGAGCATTCTTRAAGCTTCTTTTAAGAAGCCCTCGTGCTTCATAATCATGATCGAGCAATATCTTGATATGTCAGGAAAGGAGGGCTTTTCTTTCATAAAGATGGTTGGACCATGAAAGCTGAAATACAGGTTTTCTTCTCACTGATACTGGGTGATACAGAGTACGACTAGGTGTGAATCATTCTCCTTCCTTCCCCTGTCTCCTTACCTGTCTGGAAAAACATACCAGGAACTTCCAACTTRGAATGAAGGTGAGTGGAGAGGACGACTTTCCTAACGGGGTTTCCACTAGCAAACCCTAACAAAGCCAGTGAGTGCTCTTTGGATTAATTCAACAAAGGAGTTACTGAGGAATGTTCTCCTCCCCCTCTGTGTTACTTCTTGACTGTATCTTGTGTGCACGTGTGTACACACACACACACATATACACACGCATATGCATATGTATGTAAAACTGTATCTATTGGTAATTGTCTTTTATTGCAGGTTGCTTTGCGTGTGGTATGGAGAATGGATTCCGAGTTTATAATGCAGATCCTCTCAAAGAAAAAGAGAAACAAGGTAAAATGCTTTCCAGGCATGGAAGATTACTGATTTGAACTGAGTATCTCTTATGTTAATGCACCCATCAGGTGCTATTAATTTGCATAAGGTAGCAGATTATGAAGCTATCAGACCTTATTATAGAGACTGAATTGCATTAGCTCTTGCTACTGAAATGTTTATAATCCTGGATAAGAGAGAAAGTTGCCTGGTTATTCCCAGATGGGAGAGGAGTTCCTTGCTGCAGCCRTGTGAGCTGCCATCAAGAGATGTTGCAGTGTTCTTGTGCAGTAGTCTGAAGGATCTAGTACAASAGAACTTCTGCCTGCTTCATGGAGATCTGCACAAATGTTTCTTGTACTTACTCGGAGTATTTGTTTACGAGAGCCCTTTGAGTTCAGGCCTCCTTTGTGAGGTGCTTAGGGAATCTGGGAGGTTTTCAAGGTTGTAAATCTGTCGGTATTTCCAAAGATAAATTGCAGGGGAGAGCTAAGTTAACATGGGTTGAGGCTTGTTTGTGTTTTTGTTTATTTTTTGTTTTAAATGGAAAGCAAACTGAACTGAGTCAAAAATAAGGAAAAATTAAATGTAGCCATGTGGTTCTAATCCTAAATATAGGAGGAAGGCTGCCATGCTAAGTTCCCCAGCCCTTTCTGCCTGCCTTTAACAGTAGAGGCTGTGGCGCTGAACTAGAAAGGAGACTTACCGGAGGCAAAAGCTGTTTAAAATAGCAACTCCCGTGAAACCAAGTTTCTTTTCACTTAAAAGGGCTGTAAAATTAGTTAGCACTCAGATGCTCRGGTTGATGAATCATTTTCTGCTCTTAATAGTAAATCTTGCTATGGGTAGCAGCTATAATGAGTGACAGGCTGCTAAAAGGATCGAGTCCAGGTCTGAAGACCTGTTGAATTCCTGTCACCCCCTTGTGTAGAGCGACTCTAGACACATTTCCTGAGCTCTGGAGTGTTCCAGCAGTGAGTAACGAAGAGTTTCTTGTGAGTCAGGTTCCCTTTCCTGTTGTGAAACCCCTGTCAGGCTGTGTGGGAGGTGGAAGTGCACAGAGAACTCTTGTCTTTTCTGTGTGTTTAACTTTACCTATGAGTGCAGTCTCAGATGGCTGTTGTCTGTTTGAGTTTTGTTATTTGATACACTGAACCAAATCTTAATTATTATACCCTGGCTTGTGTCTCATACCATGCTTCCTATGAAGTCTCCCTTCTGTACTCTGACTCTTCAGAGTCAGAACTACCAAAATAATGAGGTGTTTATTCTGATATGGATTCACAAATCTTGCATGTTCTTCAAGTCTCAAGTTATCCCTCTTAATCTTGGTGGTAATACCTCATTGTTGAAAAAGGCAGGCTTGACAATGTGGACCGGTTAGTTGTCTTGTCAAAAAAAGGGGCAGAAGGTACTTGCATCCCTGAAATCCTTACAAAGATCATAGTCTAAATCAGAATTAAAAGTGCACAGAATTATTTAAGATTTAGTAACCTCTAATTTAATTGAGCTTGAGAGCTAGTGTCCTCTTGGTTAGAGTTCTGTTGTGCTCAAAGCTGCAGATATGCTGCTTGCCTTGCTGGATTATTATCTGTAGTGGGACGTCTAGGTGGGACAGCATCGTCAATATCATTCTATTTAAATGTGTTCCTTCCCTAAGGAACCCTTTGAATCCTTTTCCACCACCACCACTTTTTGGGTAGGAGAGTAAGAGAAGTATTAGAAAAGAAATGGAGCTGAGGAAGGGATCTGGTGGAGAAAGGGACTGTGGCCAAATACAGCTGTTCAGGAATGGATTTTGCAGTCAAAAGTGCWGAAGAAACCACTAGAACTTGTATGAGATCCAAGGCTATGCTCCTCTAATATGAGTGTCTTTCTGGTCATGTATGTTCAGCGTTGTACAGTTAAGTCCAAATATAGATTCCGTATCTCGAAAGATTGCAATGCTTAATGCTTAAATATCTCTTCCTCTTATTCTGGATATATATGTCTACATATGTCTAAATCTTTCCATTGTGGTGCTCCTCCCCGCATCCTAACTTTTTTTTCTCTCCCTTCCTGGTTCCTGGCACGAAGTCTCTTGTTTCTTTACGAAACTTCCACTTTCCCTCCTGCTTGGAAATAGTTACTAGTTTCCTCTCTCTCTTGCTGCAGCCTGCCAGTGTGTGGAGGAAGTGATCAGTCCCTTAAAGCTGAGATTGTCTTTTGCCCCAGTCATGTCCCTTGAGGGCTCGGTCGTGGCCTTTCATCCTCCCGCTCGGGTTCTGGCTCGTGAGGCGGGGCACAACCACRGGCCCTGTTGCACATAGGTGCATTTTGCCACCTTTCAATGGTCCACCAAGTCCATAAAAAAACAAACAAAAAAGCTCATGACTAATGAATAACACTGGAGTTTTTCCAGTGTGTAGCATTAATGTTATGGAGCAACCCAGGACTTCAGAAGTGTGTGTGTGTCTATCTTGTTGGGAAAAGAATTGAATTAACCTGGCAGTCTTTCTAAATGCATTTACAAAACCACTGAATAATAGAAATGAACAGCTTGCTGGGATGATACTGGCAGACTTCTTCATATATAGTGTCTTTAAGATCTTGCAGTGGTTTTTTATTTTTTATTTTATTTTTTTCTCTCTACATATGCCGGTGTGTCTATAAGTAAGGTTTGTCCCAATTTTGCCACAATCATCTTCCATCTTCATGACTAGGAAGAACAGAGCAACTTGGTTGAGAATCCTGATCTTAAAAAGCAAAAACATCTCTGGAGTTGTGTGGTGCTGGTGCAACAAATATTCCCTAGTCTGTTCCCTCAGTTCTCAAGAAGAATCTCTTTGTTTTGGAGACGGGCAGTATAGAAAAGGGGTTGGTCTTCATTCCTCTTGGGTACCTGAGAGATGTGCTAGACATATGCAAACTCTTTATTTATTTTAAATTTGATTTTAAAAGGGCGTCTTAGCAGTTTGTGGCACTTTTAAATAAAACGCATTTGTCTTTCAGAATTTCTCGAAGGTGGCGTTGGCCACGTCGAGATGCTGTTCCGCTGCAACTACCTAGCGCTGGTAGGTGGAGGAAAAAAGCCGAAGTACCCCCCCAACAAAGGTACTGTCCTCAGTCTCCGGGAATAGCTCTCGTGAGCACCTGCCTTGCYGCTTTTTGTCAAACTTGCCAAAATCTCTTCTGAACCAGAGGCTTCGAGCTGGGCCTGGGTGTCTGCAGTTGGTTGGAGGGATATTGCAGCGGGTCAAATAAATGTGATGAAACCACTTGAGTAACTGGAGCTATCCCAGTTAACAGGCAGCTCCCTGTAGTGACCAATCTCCAAGAGCAAAACCCTGCAGTGAAACCTGTGCTTTTCACCTCAGCTTTGCATGGAGTCTGGGGCTCGAGGCCTTGAGGGGGAGCAGGAGAAGGCTTTTTAGGAAAAACTATTGTTGTTTTTAAGCTGCTGCTTTATTTCTTCAATAACCAACCCTTAGAACAACAACAAAATCTAATTGTCCATATAAATAATATTTTAATATAACCCAGCCTCAACTATTTGTAAATATCYGTGATATTTTCAGTTTAGGGTTCCCCAGCTCCTGCCTGCAAGAGTTACAGGAGGAGGGAATAGGTTGACATGTAGTGGCTAAATCACGCTGGCTGGTAGAATGGCACTCTAAGYGTTTAGGTGTGGGATGCACCTCTTGGTCTTCCCAGGAGCTAGAACTTGTTATAATGGAGCTGTTGTAGCTGGCTGACACGATGCAATCTCTGCACTCTTTCAGTAATGATCTGGGATGACCTGAAGAAGAAGACTGTTATTGAGATTGAATTTTCTACAGAGGTCAAAGCAGTTAAACTGCGAAGGGATAGGTAGGTACAACAAACCCGCCCTAAACGCACGGCTTGCCTTGCTGTGTGCGCTCTGCTTGCACGTTTCCAGCTCTTTGCAGGAAGAAAGACTCTGTTTGACCATTTCGATTTTAATTGCTCGTGTTTATCCAAAACGGGCTTTGGGTTAAGTGCTAACAGATCACAGCTCAAACTGGTATCTGAAACCTTGGTGGATTTTGCAAGGCTTTACAACCCCTGCTAAGGGGACCTGTTCTCACACGGCTGCTGCTGACTGCATTTTTCTGTGTGTGGAGGGAATTCAGTGGATCTCTGGAGTAAGAACATGTGTCTGCAGCTGAGAGCAGCTGAACTGCGTGTGGGGCGGGGGGTGGCTCTGCTGCCCTAGCTTTGGATAAGTGCTCTGCAGGCTCATAGTTGTCTGAGTTTGTTTGTTTGTTTTACAAAGCTGGGAGCCTGTAGAGGGGGGAAAATASATATTTATCACCAGAAGAATCTTTTGAAAGACTTCGTAGAGCTGAGTCAATGCATGTGTTCCTGTTTTACCCCATTCTTGACTGCAAAGTAATAGAACCTTCTCTTTGCCTTTCAGAATTGTGGTAGTTCTGGACTCAATGATTAAAGTTTTCACATTCACACACAACCCCCACCAGTTGCACGTCTTTGAAACTTGCTACAACCCGAAAGGTCAGTGATATGGTTGGAGGGGCATGGAAAAATTATTCTGCTCTTGTTGTACTATTTATCTTCAGATTCTTGAATGTGTTGTATTTAGTGAGTTATTAAAACAGTTTACTTGGAGTATTATAGCCACGCTCTTGGAAATGATTCTGTTATAAAATGATTATTAAATGTAGTCACATTTGACAGAAAAGTTTTTTGCATGTACTCTGTTATATTACAGGCTTAATGTCTGTAAGAGCTATACACCTTCTGTAAAGAGCCTGCAAGCTTTGCATATTTTGTGTTGAAAGCTTAATTGCCAAGGGAAACCCTATTGAAGTGCTGTGTTCCTCCTTTATTTGGAGAGTGGTGTTTAGAGAACTGCTCTATACCGTGTCGAAAAGAGCCTAGCTGGCAAAGAGGAGTTGATTTTTGAGCAGGGGTGTATGGCTTTGGCCTTTCTGAAACGATGAGAACCTGAAATATTAAAGGCAACTAAATACAGGRTATCCTGAATGAAGGTGCGTGTTGGTGCCACAGGTTTAAAACTGCCCATGCCGGGATGCTGGTGACCTGCAGGTGGGCAYGGGGCGGCTTTGACCCGAGGAGAGAGTTGGTTACAGTTGGTTGCTTGTTGAGAGGTGCTTTCTGGCAGAAGATCCTTGAGAAGGGCACCATGGAGAGCCCAATGCCAGGTCGTCTGCACACTTAGACCTTCCCTGCACAGCTGGTCTTCAAACCAGAGGTGCCAAGGTGCCCGGGTGCCTCTGCAGCCAGGAGCAGCCGAGGGCCCTTGCCCGGGCAGCCAGGGGCTCGACGCGTGTGGCACCGGGGCACGTGGAGGGAGCTCCGCTTGTCAGTCGTGCGGAGAGGGACTCCAGGGCCTTGTCTGTTGGCAGCCTGCAGCCATCAAAGTGGCAGCCAGCTCTTTGGTGGTAGCAGCCGCTGTGACAGGAGCACTGGCCATGCCTGGTGCCAGGGACCAGCTGGGACATCGGGGATGCTCTTCTCCTGTGAGGCGGGTGGTGCAGCGYGGGGCAGGTCCCGGAGCTCCAGAGGCTGCCAGGGCTGCCCGCACTCCGTGCTGGCTGCGCTCCCCGTTGGAGCAAGGGCTGGGCTGAACTTCCCAACCAACTTTCTGCGCCTGCAAAAAGCCCCAGAAGCTTCAACAAAATCCAACTCATCACGTGCTGAACACCTCAAATTCACATGAGCCTCCGCTCACTCCAAAAACTTGATTTAAGCTATAGCAGGGTGCTTTGGCATGGCAGGACAGGGATTGTGGGCAGCACTGTGAGCTGTGCAGCCTCGCTGCAACTTCAGCTCCCTGACGTGTCCCCTACCTGCTCTAGGCAGGTAGTAGAGGTTGGTTTTCAGGTCCTTCTTGTGGCAGCCACGTGTAGCTCTGTGGGCTGCGCCCGGCGGCTGCGGGGATTCGCTGAGCGCCAGCAGAAGCTTGGCCTGAATAGTCTGAAAGAGCTGAGAAGGAAAAAGTTTGGAGGAAAGRGAGAAACAAAAGGCAAGTGCCACAATTACCAGTTCAAACATGAACCAAGTTTTACAAACAGGAAWCAAAGATGTCACTTATTATAAGCTATTTTTCTTTATCTATGGATGAATGGATCTCATTTGGGGATTTTGCAGTAACTACTAAAATTCTTATTAACATGTATCTTAAGTTTCTTTGAAATTGAGAGATATTTTAGAAACTTATGCTTGAGAATTCTACCAGTTTATGGAAATTAATTCTGCAGTTATTCTTATTCTTGTTGTATTTTGCTTATTTCAGGTCTCTGTGTCCTTTGTCCAAATAGTAATAACTCTCTCCTGGCGTTTCCTGGAACACACACTGGGCATGTGCAGATAGTGGATCTGGCTAATACAGAAAAGCCTCCTGTGGACATCCCAGCTCACGAAGGCGTCTTGAGCTGCATAGCTCTAAACCTGCAGGGAACAAGGATTGCGACGGCGTCGGAGAAGGTGAGCGTGGTGTGCGCTTCCCACTGCCGCTTGAGCGGGAAGCCTTGGCCCGGGGGCAGGGGCAACGAGCACTAGAACACTGGAAAACTGCCACTGAAAGATGCACATCCCCTTTCTTGATTTTCRCAGCCTTTTTAGGATCCCCACATGCCTGAGGAGAGCCCCAGAGCAGGGCCTGGGCAGGCAGCGTGGGGCTTGGCTGAGTTTTAGCTGTGCMTCTCCAGCACAGAAGATCTCTGGCCTGAGGAGGTCGTGTGTTTCCTACAGCTACCCTTGGGGCTGGTGCCTGAATCAAGACCAGGGCTTATTTGCTTCAAGTAGAAGCTCGGATTGCCTCTTATTACAGTGTTTAACTAAATATCATGTAGTGAACTAAGCAAATACCTCTGCTTTGTTCTTTCACCTTTCTACAGCTTATGCTTAAACTAAYGTTAAATAGCAAAACTGCCTTCTCCAGCTTTAGTGGTCCAGAAGCTTCAGTGAAGTCAGCTTGTGAGCTTCCTCTTGCCAAGGGGCTTCCAGTGGGTCTGAATGAATGTGATGATGCCCACCAAGTAGATGGGTGTGGGACTATTTGAGCGCTTTCTACCTTCTTGAGCTCAACTGAAATGATTTTTTTCAAAGACARCCTAAGTGAATCCAACCAGTTTCTCTGGAGCAGTTTCTACTGCACATCCAACAGATCAAAAATCTTGAATGAGGAAAAAGCAGTTATCTGCCACCCTGACTCAGTTACTGTTTGACACAAAGCTCTTAAAACTGCAGACTGTTTTGCAAAATAGTCATAACCTTCTGGATGGTACTGAATTTGGAAGGGCTCTTTTTCTTCCCTTAGAGAAGGCATTCAAACACAGCTGGCAAATTGAAAAAAAGGCAGTACAGTCTACTTGAATGCAAACTAATGGCAGGGCAGCACTGGTGCTTTAGAACATAAGTTGGATAAAAATGGTTTGTGTAGTTGAGTAGTTACATACGGAGACCCCAGAGCATCACAGCCCTGCAGGGATGTGAGCAGGAACAGTGCTCCTCCCCACAGTTACTGAGAGGCCATTCTCAAATTTATATATATGTGTGTGTGTGTGTGTGTGTATATATACACACATATATAGTTTATATATAAATGTATATATTCATACATATATGTATATACATAAATGTATATACATAAATGTATATACATTTTATATATGTATATACATAAAATATATATACACACACATATTTATATATACACACACATATATATATATATAAAAAAAAAGTGTGTGTGTATATAGTAACTCTATACATTGGGTATCTAGAGGTGTATACTAGTCAGGTGAGAGGTTTGGGGATGGTCTTCACAGATGTAAACACGGCTGTCCAAACAGTCTTCTCTTTGCTAATATAATGCTTGATTCCTTCTTAAGGGGACCCTCATAAGAATATTTGATACTTCATCAGGGCATTTAATCCAGGAGCTGCGAAGAGGATCGCAGGCAGCCAACATCTACTGGTATGTGTGGGTGCCTGTGCTGGGCTGCCGAGCGGCGCTGTGCCCGGCCGGGCAGGGCTGGGCTCCGGCAGCCGCAGCCCGGCGTCGCGGACGGCCCCTCTTTGCAGGGCTGGTGGCTGCAAGAGCCGGCAGCTCTAGGAACCGCGGCCCTGCTCACGCAGAGGCTGTGGTCACCTGCAGGTGCTGCCAGAGCTGCCAGAGCTGCCACCTCCTGGGTGATGAGCTGAGCCAGGCAGCTGCTTGGGCTTCAGAGTGAAGTCGGGCCCAGAGCAGTGCTTGGCACTGCCCAGAGAGACCAGGATGGGCGCCTGGGGCGAGAAGATGGGGCAGCTGGAGCCCTGTTYTGCCACAGAGCTGCTCCGTGTGGTAGGCACGGAGGACTCCAGCCCACTCCTATTTGCACTCTGCTGCGTGGCCCCAGGCTGGGGGGAGGAGGGTGCCGCATTTGCCCTAATACCCCCCRGGCCTTGGGGTAGTCCTGGTATCTCTTTGCTCTGAAGAGAGTGCTCGGATGGGCGCACGAGCCGTGTGTGTCCCGGGGCAGGTGCCACGTGGGCCTTGGAGCCTCCCGTGTGGGTGCTCATGCGGCCCGTGGGGCTGAGTGCTGTGGGGCCGGGAGCCAGGCGCCGCGGGGGCTGCTGCCTCGCGGCACAGACGCTGCAGCTCTCTCTGCTCCACAGCATCAACTTCAACCAGGATGCCTCCCTAATCTGCGTATCCAGTGACCACGGCACCGTACATATTTTTGCTGCAGAGGACCCCAAAAGAAATAAACAGTCCAGGTAGGTTTGGGCTGCTCTGAAGCTGGTGCAGAGACTGCTGCTGACCCCAGACCAGATCTAAACGCATTATTCTTGCCACTCTCTGAGCAAAAGCAGCAACTAGTGTTGAAATGACCTGCACTTACAGGAGTAACTTGCTGTGCTGCTCCAGGTAGCACAGATTGAAGATGTTCAGCCACTGCTGAGTTTCTCCTGAGCCTCCTGGAATGAGGGGATTTTTCCAGCAGAGGGTTAGTGATCAAAACTCTGTGCCAGAGTGAACGTACTTGTTGCGACTGAAGCTACTGAAAAAATCTTCCTTTTTGTAGTTACTTAACAACTGAGGATGTTAGAATTGCTTTGCATGGTCTCCCTGCCCTAGGATGGTGGATAGTGTTGGGACTTGGCTCAGGAAAACAGAGACTGCTCCACAGCAGCAGTTAGCGTGAGCCCTGATGTGCTCAGACTTGCCAGCACTGCCAAATTAAATTGTCAGTGTCTTGCTGAGSTCTTACACTGTGTTTATTTTTTCTTTTCTTTCAGTTTGGCCTCTGCCAGCTTTCTCCCCAAATACTTCAGCTCCAAATGGAGTTTCTCCAAATTTCAGGTTCCCTCAGGCTCTCCGTGCATTTGTGCCTTTGGAACAGAGCCCAACGCTGTCCTAGGTGAGTGCGGCCACTTCCCACATCCTGCCTGGAAGAGCAGGTTTTGAGTTGTGCCCGCGGGAGCGGGAGGGCTGCCCGGCGAGGACGGAGCCCCCGGCAGCCCCTGTCACCAGAGCCCCGTCCACGCGCAGCGGGAGGGCAGGGTTGGATCCTGGGCCCTTCCAGTTCTCCCAGAGCAGGGCTGGAAGTTACTGGCTTGGAAGCTCAGTTAGAGCTGAAGTAACAGAGACTGGTGCCTCTTCCACAGCTCACGCTCAAAGGACTGTTTCTCTTTCAGCAATATGTGCCGACGGCAGCTACTACAAGTTCTTATTCAACCAAAAAGGGGAATGCTCAAGGGACGTCTATGCTCAGTTTCTAGAAATGACTGATGACAAGCTCTGACGGAGCCGAGGAGCGCGTGCCTCCCAGCACTGCCTTGGCTGTTCTGCATCCTTGGAAGGACAGTGGCTGAATGTCCAATACTGATCAGGAAGTTTAGCTGACCTCACGGAGAAGCCTGGCCCCACACGATCAGAACAAGCTCTGAAGCAGTGGACTACGTATGTGTATTCTCATTTCTGCAAGCATTCATCATTGAAATCTCTGGGTTATGGTCATCAACTCAAGTTCTCAAGACATGGCTTTCAACAAGCTTATACCTCTCTGGTTTCTCTTCATCTAAACTGTGAAATGACTTTTGGTTAAACGGGAGTGCCTGCCCCCCTGGAAGATCTGCAGGGCCTGTAACCCACGTCAGGTTTGGCCTTAAGGAAAGGGAGATGGAGCCGCGAGTCCTGAAGCAGGGCCGAGAGGGCGGCCGCTCCAGCAGCGCGGCTGGGCCGGGGGCTGCAGCCCCTCGTGCTCCCGAGGAGAGGCCGAGGGGGCGGCYGCAGCAGCGGCCCAAGCCTGGGCCTGGGCCTCAGCCTGGGCCTGGCCTCGCTTCAGGAGGTGCCAAACTGTCTGTTGGGGAGGGCTCGTGGCCCTGAGTACGTGGTGGGGAGCCCAGAGACCCGTATGGGGAGAGGGTGCCTGCCCTGCGTGCCAGAGCAGCCCGTCCAGGGTGAAACGCTGCCCCTGCCGCTGCGCTGGCTGTAGCGGCTGCTTCCCGACCTGCCCGGCCTCAACTGGAGAGGGTCGGGCCGCTCCTCCCTGCGGACAGCGGGGCAGGACCGCAGGCCCCCTGCTCCTCCACCACGGCTTGAAACCTGTCTGCTCTTGGCTTTGAGATGTTGCATAAGGAGGGGTGCTGCTCAAGGAGCGGGGAGGGGGGAGCACACGGACTGACTGCTTTTTTCTTTCTTTTTTTTTTTTTTTTTTTCTCCTTTTTTTTTCCCCTCTTCTCTCTCAAGTCATTTTAGGGCTCAAATAGTCTTTTCTGCTGCAGGGAGATGCATAGAGCACGAGGCAGACACAGGTGGGCGAGGAGGGGATCTGGCTCTTGCAAAACTGAACTTCACCCCTGCTTCAGCGCTGGCTTCCCTGTTCACTAACACTGTTTAGCTGCACCCCCCAAGTTGACAAGTTTCTTTTCCTGTCATATACCATACTAAGGACTAACCTTTGCGCTGATCTTGATGTCAAGTTTGCATGTTGCTTTTATGTGTACTTAATCACCAAAATTGTTTTGCACACTTATTTGTAATATGTTATTTCTTTTAAATAAAAGTGACTAATTTTGCTGTATTAATTAAGGAGTAGTTTAATTAGAGGATCACAAACAGCCTTAGGAGGAGCTCTGGTGCTCAGAGGGGTCCCCGGCCCAGCTGCCGGTTCTGAGCGTGTCGGCCGGGCTGSGGCTGAGGGCGGCACCTCAACGAGGCCGAACTCCCTTGGTCCTGAGCAGCCAGCGCCGGYGCGGGCCCCTTCCCTACCCTGGTCGCTCCCTAGAACAGCTCTAGCAGCAGCAGGAACGGAGGAGCTCCTCGTTGAAGCAGGGAGGGASGAAGGGGGAGACTGATTTCTACAAGAAGCGTTTCTGCCCCTGTGTCTCTGCTGCAGGAAGAGCTGGGGCAGAGCTGGAGGCTGGTTCTGAGCCAGTTCAGCTGCACACCCTAAAAATAGCCCAGGCCACTGCTTGAACCATTTCTGCTCCAGGCTTGTAAGAGAAAAGCGGAGCTGATGTCGTGGAGCCTCCCCAAGCACCTGCTGGTGCAACAGGAACCACCCCTAGCCCCCCACCCAACCACCACCCCGGAACTAATGATGGACTCGCCCCATCTTTAACACACACCTAAACTCTTTGATTTCATCCTGTACCAGCTGCAAGTCGTTATCTGTAAGTAGAGAGGCTATTGGGACAGGAAAGGGGTTGGAAATCCAAGGAATGGATCTTCCCACCTGCTGTGGGGTCCCTGCGGCTGGGCCAGGGCTTCCTCGCGGAGCTGCTCTCTGCCCTCGCGCTCGGTGCCGGTGGATCAACCTACCTCTAGCAGCCAGGTAGCAGGACTTGAACTAACCCCTTCGAGACGACCCCATGCCTTAAGCAGCAGTTGGACAGATTAAGTGGGTTAAGTAGCAGCAGTTAATCCATGCAGCCATGGGGTGGGTGTATTTATGGTATCACAGGCTTGAAGTCCCAGCCAGATGGGGAAGCTCAGGCCAGAGAYGGCAACAGGGCAGTCAGCGGCAGGAGGCGGCTCCCACCTCATGGGCTGGGAGGGATTGACTTAACTTACCAGAAGGTAAGTCTTAAAATACGGCAGAAGGCCCAACCAGGCGCCTTTCGCGCTCTTCCATGCTCCGTGTGCCCGAGCCCTGGCCCAGGCTGCCCAGGGAGGCTGGGGAGGCTCCTGCTCTGGAGATCTCCCCAACCCGCCCGGGTGCCCCGAGCTCTGGGTGTCCCTGCTGGAGCAGGGGYTGGACTGGGTGATCTCTAGGGGTCCCTTCCAACCTCAGCCATTCCGTGATTCTGTGACGTGGCTTTGGGAAATGACCCTTTGCAATCAAGAGCTCCTGGGACTGGAAGGGAAACAGGTACAGAAAAAGTTAAGAGATTTTGCATAGGAAATCTAGAATTATCACTATTTATGAAGAACAATACATATTCATCAGCTGTTTGCTGTTAAGTCTATGGATTTACAACTTTTGATACTTAAAATACCCAGCCGTGTCCTTTCCCCCCCTCGATTTCTATCCTCTCTCTGCAAGGCACCTGTGCCACCATTCGCAGTCCAGAAAGCGCAACCCGAGGACCAGCCAGCGCAGCAGCCACAATTCCAGGTATTTGCCAGCAGGCACCAAGAGTCACAGAACAGAGTTCTTTCAAAAACCTTTAGGGATTCACACYTCAGTAGAAAACAGAAGATTAAGCAGTGAAGCTGAAGAATGCTGGCCATTAACCTAGCTCATATACAGGAAGCGGGAAGCGCTTTGGTGGTCACAGCCGCCTGTGGGGAGYGCCCGGAGCGGCTCAGGATGCCGCCCTTGCCCCACATGCCTCCATCAACGACGGCCTCACGGAGCCAGCCCCCGCRCTCCCCATTCCCTGCGAGCGCTTCCTCTCCCCAGTGGTTCTGCAGGTTTGAATGCGCTCGCGCGTCTCCAGGGCCCTTTGAGAGCTCSTTCAGCAGACCCAGCTGCTCTCCAAGGACCAGGTCACGCTCCTTCAGCTCAGACATTTCTGCTGCTCGCCAGGGTTTTGTCGCCCTCCTTTGATTCCTCCGCAGGCACTTCCAGAACTTTCTTAAAAGCCTGATGTGGAATCACCTGCCCCCCCAGCAGCCTTGAAAGCTTTTCTGSTGCTTGACCCAGAAGCACGAGAGCCAGAGAGTCCAAATTAGTTCGAACCAAGACCAAAACCAGCATTAACAGCAACCAGGTCTGGAGAGCACACAGATGATTAAAACATTTTAAAATAAATATTTTCTTATTGTGGCAATCTGTATTAAAAGAAAAAAAAAAAAAGTCAGCAGTGTTTGAAGTCTCTGGAAATCCCTGGCTATGCACCTGCAACCAGCCCCCAGCGCTAACCCAGCTTCRGGGAAGCTCTTTTGTATGTGCTAAAAATACGTCTTAATTCCACGTCCCGCCTGCTGAGCGGCCGGGAGAGGCACCGGGCGGCGGCTGCGGCGGGAGGGGGTCGTGGCCGCCCGGGCGCCTCCGGGGGCAGCGGCCGTGGGCGCCACCTCTGCAGGAACCGAGCAGAGCGCTCAAACCCATCTGAAGAGGGAYCGGGAAGCTCTACTTTGGGATTTGAAGTAATTAGAAAATGCAACAGTTTAAAAATACGGACACGTATCAATCTGCGCTGTCACCAGCATGAAAATAATAGCAGGATCTTTCCAACTTGGTCTCCTGCACAGAAGGCCGTGCGCGAGGTGGCCTTCCCAGTCAGGRCTCCCTGCAGGTGCCTTGGGGATGAGCACGGGATTTGCACCCAGTCGGCAGCCAGGGCGGCGTGGGGCCGAGCCGCGGGCGCGCGGGGCACAGCGGGGCGCAGGGTGCTGGCGCAGCGGGCGCTTCCCTGTCAGTAACGTGTGGGAAACAAGGGAAGCAGCAATCCCATCCGCTGGAGCGGCGGAAGGGGCATCAACCTCCCAACGCTCTTGAAGAAAACCCAACCGACGCAACGCAGATCAGACCGCTTCTTAAGCGGAGCAGCTGGGACGAGGCGAGCGCGGGTTCCCAAGCGCTCACGAGGACAGCGTGCGTTGCTCGCTTACCCCCAAGCCAGTGCCGAGGCCGGTGGGAAGGGCGCAGAAGAAGCGGGAGGCAGCGCAAGGCACCAACAGCGACGGCGGAGCTGCAGCAGSCCCCGGGAGCGGCCAAACCTCCGGAGACGCCAGATGGAGCCTCCCGCGCGCAGCCCTGGAGCACCGTGATGGCGGCGGCCGGAGCYCCCGGCGCTGGGGCAGGCGGCACGCGGGCGCCCGCTCCGGCACGACCTGATCCCGCTCCCAGCCATCCCGGCCTCCATCCTGCTCCAGCCCGTCCGGGCCTCGCTGCCACTCCGGGGCGTCCGGCCTCTCCCCGGCACCCTGGCCCCGGCCTGGCCCTGTGGTTCCCGCCTCCTTCCCGCGTCWCGGCCAGCGGGGCTCGAGCCCCTGCCCCAAACCCTCCCTCGAAGGCTGCAGCCGCTTGSTGAGGAACTTCCACTTGCTTAATTTGCTGAATAAAATTTAATTTTATTTAAAAAAATCTTATACACTATTATTCACCTAGCCCTAGTTGTGAACAGATTCTCACTTCGGAAAATAAACCACATTCTAGTCAACTCATTCAACACCAAATTAAATTACTAGTACTGGATTTTGTTTCTTAAAAAAAGTATGTTAAAACTTTACTTTTTTTATTTTTTAAAACCTCTAAAGAAAAACCTTGCAGTTTTACAGAAATGTTTCTTTTCAGGTTATAATTTTTTAAATGCCTGTTATAAATTCAGCTTGTGTAGAGTTTTTTCATAATTTTTTAATATGTATTATCTGCAGAGACATTGTAACAGCTCCATTTTGTGGATTAACACAAAACTTAATACAGATGTCTTGTATTTGGTCTTTAGGTAAATAGTTCCCAAAAGCTGCCTAAATAAACCACTCCAAACTGTTCAGTCCATCATGAAAAATACAGTTGCTTTTTCCTTTTGTAGTGGAAAAGGAAATATAAATAATGCATTATTATCACAGAAAATGACAAAAATCAGAGTTTAAAATTAAGCCAACTACTTAGCTTCCACTCACCTTACTGCAGAAAGAAATAAGACGTCGTGTGAATTGAAGACTGAACAGCAGCCTTACGTTTAAATTTCATTTTGAAACAGAAAATGGAATCTATTACCACATTTAAAGTGAGAAATTACCGATACATTTTAAAATGTTCAACTGCAGAACACACACTTAAAAAAAAAAAAGGTTTTTTTTTTTTTTTTTTTTTTGTTTTGTTTTGTTTTTATTATAATAATATGGTAGCCACTGTTAGAAAACCACAACAGCTACTTTTAATGGAGACCCCCCGGGGCCGCGCGGGACATCAAAAGTGTTACGGAGAAACCGGTCAGATTAATTTCTACTGATGGGTGCTTAAGCTTAAAAATATTGAATATACCTCTGACAAGATAATTTTTACTCTCTTTTTAAAAGGACTTGTGATAAAGAACTTTATCTTTTCTAAATGAAGAACAGTCTGTTATCTTAAACATACACAATATTAAGCGAGACTCTTGTTTTACTTTAGACTGGAAAAATATGCCAGGGACAGTCAAAGTCAACACAAAGTAACAAACAGCAAAAGGTAGCAGAAAGAGAAACAGATAAGTGCAGCTCTGGTCAAATTCATAGCAGTTCTTTACGTCAGTTAACGGCTCATTTACATTGTAATTTCTAATCAGTTACATGCAAGCCCAAAGAAGCATTTGATCACTACACATGGTAATAAAATTGGATTAAATTTATCAGGCAACTGCTAAAATATGAAAATTTGCAGATGTAATAAAGTAGCTTTATCTGAACTTTAACAGGACAGACAAAAGTAAATCATTCCGTTGGTTTAAAAAAGAAAAAAAAAAAACACGAAAAACCCTACATTCAKTTTTTTCTTCTTTTTTTTTTTYYTTTYYTYYTTTTTTTTTTCCTCTCCAAACAAAATTTCACATGAGAAGTATTGTGTGATTCCAAAGTTTCCGGAGTAGAAATGGAGTGATTTGAAATGTCAAAGACCCCATTATTTTGCAAAGAAATGAAAATACACCTCAAAAATTGCTAATTCCACATGTGAACAACAAAATACTGCGTTATCTACCAACAACTGCATCGGGTAGGTCAATGTGAAAGGCTAGCTGCCAAGATGTAGGAAATGGCTCCTTGCCTCTGTTCCCTTTGAGGATATACAATCGTTTGCAACCAGTTCACACTAAGCGCTTATCATGCGGCCGTTACACTGAGATCCTCAGTCCTTACATCAGCTGAGATTTGTTTTTAAAGCTGCAGCCCTCCCCAACACTGGATTTCTCAGTGCGCACAGTTCAGCAGGGCAGGGAGGAGCGGGGTCACAGCCTCTGGAACAAGATGCTTTTGCAGTTTGACTTTAAATTACCAAGTTTTAAGGCCACCTGTGTTGGGTATTTTTTTATTTTTTGTTTTTTTTTCAGTGCTGAAAGTTGAAGTCTGATCACAGGGCCCCTTTCCCCACTGCGTGAGAACATGTTCCAACGTTTTAGGTGTTATGTTAAGTGTCTCCTTTTGGCACCACGGAGTTTATTAAAAAAAARARAWAWAAWWWWAAAAAAAAAMAAMMAAAAAAAAAAAAAAGGAAAAGGAAAGAAAACTCCTCTAAGTTTCTAGTTCTGGCTGCCTTTGTCACTCACTGCCACGGGCGGGGTGTCCACGTTAACGGCTATGACTATGCTCTCCCCATCCTCCGTTTTGATCCGTTTGAGGTCCTGCTGCTCGGCCTGGTCTCCGTTCTGGCGCTTGGTGGGCAGGGAGGCCGACGCGGACGCGTGGGTCGCCAGCATGTGCAGGGGACTCGCCGCAGCTGCAGAGAGAGGGGACAAGAGCGTGAGCAGCGCCGCCCCCCGGGACGGGCACCCTGCGCTGCCGCTGAGGGCCCCGTTGGCACCGGGCTGGCAGGCGCAGCCGGGATCGCGGCCGCTCCAGCTCCACCACCTGGAAGAGCCGGTCCCAAACCACTCAACATCCACACAGGTCAGGGCAAAGATGGGAAAGGGAAAATATCTCCATTTTGTCAATGGGGAGCCGAGATGGAGAAAGGTTAAACGCCGTAAAGCCAACACGCCCGGGAATTTCCAGTGGAATTGAGCAGTGAATCCAAGTGCCCTCCGAGCAGGGCCTGGCCCTGCAGACTGCTCTGAACACGCGGTTCGAGCTGGCAGGGCGGCACCAGCCCAAGCTGCTGGGCACAAGCGACGCCACTCGCAGAGCCACGAGATGAAGACGCATGGAGCACCAGCTTCGCGCGAGGACTTGGCTTGTGCAGCTGGCTGTAGCTCTATTTAACAGCCCATCCCCATACTGCTAAAATAACAGGCAGCATAACCAGGCAGTTGTGGCATTTCATGAAGTTTTATCCAAGCACCAAAGCAGCCGCTCTTTTCTGCACAGGCTCCCTCTCTTCAGCCGTACCGCGGCGGCGTTCCCCGCTAGCACGGCCTGCACGCGAGGTGCCAAGGACGTCTTCTTTGTTAGACTTGTTTTAGTTTCTCTTGGCAGCTGTAGGTGACGGTGCTTGAACATCAGCACTGCAGGATTTTCTTCCAAAATACGAGAATTTAGTTTGTTCTGGGTTTCACTGCTTTCAAGTAGACGGGCAGGGAGTAAAAAGCCCCAGCAGSCTGTGCTGCTGGGGACGAGACCTGAGAGCTGCAGGGGCTCCGCTGCCCGTGTCCCCGCACACAGCACGTGCAAACACCCATCCGTGCACACACACACATCAGTGGGTGTATTTCTGTAGACTTAGCCTCCCTTCGAATGTTTTGCCCAGGAACTGCCTSCTTTCCTGCTGCCTTAGGAGCTACTGGGACAGAGACACCAGGAACRGGAACAGGGCTGAAACGGGAGCACCTTGCAGGACATGTAAGCCCAGAAATTTCACAGCAAAGAGCCCTGCGACTTCAAGTGCCCCCAGCACAGGCTCAAACAGGCAGCTGCACTAGAACTGTGTTCCTGCACCGAATCAGATGGCTCAAAAATGCTGAGCAGCTGCCAGGCTCTCCTAAGGAAACACGGTGACATCTGCTCAGCCTTCAGAGTCAACAACAAAAAAAACAAAAAGATTAAAAAAAAACACTTCTAAAATACTGTTTTCAGTGTATTTCCCATTACTTGGCTCCATTCACTCACCACCTTCTGACAAGAAGAGTGTAGAGTGATACCTGATGCCAACGGATTTGCTTTACTGAAGCTGTAAGTGAAGTGGAAGCACTGATCTACAGGTACCAAAACTGGGTAGGAAAACCAATGTTCTGAAGGGAAAAAGGGCAAAAAAGGAAGCAAGCCAAACCATTTACTCCGTCAGTAAGACTTCAGAGATGAAACGTATGTAATAAATTGACTTAAGAGCCTAAAATTATTCCCGTAAGACTTTTTCAAGACAGGGAYGTTACTGCAGTACCAGATAACATTATCTCAAAGTGAAATTGTTGAAACAAATTACATTCACCCACAAACCAAAGCTAACGCCTCTGTGCGAGCTGTGATGGAGCCTTCACTGCCACCCACGGCGGCTGCCGAGGCTGCCAAGGGAAAGGCCACGTTCAGMCACACAGGGACCGTCTCCAAAGCTCCCCGAACGCTTCTCAATGCAGCATCTTGCTTGCCACAGCTTTGATACACAAGTGGAACAGCCAGTCTGGAAGCCAAGTTCCGTGCTGCTCTCCTTCTGGCTGGTTCTTGACCAAAGCACTGGGGAGCAGTTATCATTTTAATGGCATCTTAGTTGCTTTAGAGCAACTTCTTTTAAAAATTGTTTTTATTCTGAGTTTACTGAGGARGGAAGATGGGGGGTCATCACTGAGTGCATCCCTATAAGAACCCCAAAAAGAATAAACAGCAGCTCAGGTAAGCATCAACGAGAAGAAACGGGAATTCTTACCCAGAGGGAGGAAACAACCCCTTGCAAGGTTGTAACCTACCTTCTTGTGTGCAGCTTTGATAGCATTCAGAATAATCACAAAAGGCACACGACTGCAATTCCAAATGACCCAGCACTGGCCACTTGGCCAAGTTTTAACACTCACAAAGCAAGAGACTGTTTGGACGCCATACGCACCAGCGTTGCCTTGTCCTTGTATCGCAGTGGTGATGGGTACTATGTGCGTTCCGTTCTGCGTTACAGTTTTTATTGGTAGCTGGTGTTGACCTAGAGGTGCCTGTTGCACTATAGTAACTGTCTGTAGGGGTGTGGGCTGAGATGTCTGAATGATACGACTAGCAGCTCCTATTGCAGCATGACTAATAGCAGGTATAGGCTCCACTTTAACTGAAAAACAGAAGAAAAATCACTGTTAAGCATTAAAAACAAAACAAACTCACTTGATTTTATAAAATCAGATCTTGAATGAAAAAGAATATTCTCTTTTATTACTGGCCTCAACATATCAGACAAATTACATTACAAAAATCTGAGAAAATAGGCAAAACCAACAATTCAACCAAGCATTTCAGGTRTTCATCTTGCAGGACATTTCGACCCCCAAGCCGCACGCTCCTCTCACCTTTCACTTCCTTGTGGTCTCCGTTCTCTTGAGGTTCCACCTTGGGCTGGGTTACCACCGCAGCTTGCGTGACAACCGCCTGTCCAGCTACCGTGTAAGTGTTTGCTGGTGCTAATCCACTCACGTTTGTGACGGACACAGCTGGTATCTGGTGAACAACGTGAACCGTCTGCACTACAGGCTGCTGGGATGTTGTTGTCGTCACAGGAGTTGCAACAGTGTAGGTGACAGGTTTAATAGTTTGTGGTAGCTGCCGTTGTACAGTAATTAAAACAGGTTGGCTAGAGAGAGGTGATCCTAGCAAAAAAAAAAAAAAGGTAAAAATTAGGCTGTGATTGGAGCACTTTCTGCTAGGACATTAATCCTTTCACACWTAGCACAGAAGCCTCGAAGGACTGACTGCTGCTTGATTCAACAACCCAAAAAATAAACCTGACTATAAAGATTAGGACACAGGGCTATTCTAAGCACAGCCAGACTGCCAAAGCTAGGCTTATAGTTGCTTGCTAAAACTATTACTTCCCACAGGAAACTAAGATGAGCTTCAGGAGTTTTGTGGAGCACTTCTGCAACTGCACAAAAAACAGGACCCGAAAAGCCTGGTTGCTGCTGCTCAACTTTGCTGCAAAAAAATCTGGAAATATTAAGATAGTCACTGAAATTCTGAAGGGAATATCACCAAAAAAAAAAAAAAAAAAGAATGGAAAAACATGTATCAACTAGAGTAATGGAACAAAGGATTCCCTTTCCCACTACCCCCTTGGAAGAAAACTCTTATCACGGATGAATCCATGATARGAAATACTCAGAAATTCTGTTAAACAAGGCATTTGGTTACTACTGTAACCCATGAATCTATTTTTTCTAAGCGAGCCAGAGCCTGTTTCCAGGGGAAGCGATGGCCGTTACAAGCCCGCGCGGTGCTGCACGGCGTGGGAGCACCGAGGCGCTGGGGCTCCGCACAGCACCCATAACAAACCCTGCTGGGTGTCGCGGGCGCTACCGGGCGYGCTCACCTGCTTCCCAAGGCTTCGCTCCCACCGTCATCAGGTTACACGCAGGCTGGTGTTTTGCTGTCCACGCGAAGCGGCTCCAACACACCAGCGCCCTCCCACCCGCAGCGCTCCGCGGCTTGCCAGGCTCTCACCTGGGGCACTCTGTGCAAATCGTGCTTCTTGTATGACCGCTAATTTTGGCTGGATGGCGCTCGGCTCGGGCTCCATGGGGACGGGCGATCCTTCCCTGGAGAGGCTCTCGGGGGTCTGCACTCCGCTCGAGTGTGCGGACAGCACGCCGGAGTGGTTGGGAGAGGCYGGGGCACTTCTGTGTAAAAGCCAAAGCAGCGGCCGATGTGTTTTAACCACCCATGGCCTCGCTGGAAAGCGCCTGCATGGGCACCTCCGCGTCCCAGCGAGCACGCTCATGCCCGCTGCCCCCGGCCGCRCCACCTCCAAACCCCAAGCGGCACAGAAGGGCCGGTGCTTCCTCGGGCTGGCCGTCCACGCAACACATGGAGTGTTAGCAGCGTCTCCCCTAGGGAGAATGCTGAGCAAACCCTGCCCGAAGGGCAAGCAGGAAGGCAGCCTGCGCCTGCAGGAAGGCTCCGGCTCCGTGGTGGGTAACTCAAAGCCTCGTTATTCCCCCACCGCCGGTAGCGCGGAAATGCTGTCCAACAAAATGCAGACTGTTGTTTGGAAGAAAGAGCTCAGATGTGGTCATTTGCTTTGCCTAGTGAACGGGGCAGCCTCCTCGTAAAGCCAAGCCGCACTCAAATACCGCGTCTGGTCAAAATTAAAGGAGCTAAACCAGTGACTGTAGAGCAAACGAGCGAGCCCGCGTCAGCCTGGCAATTAAACAACAGCCAGAGAGGGGTGTTGAGCTGGTTTTCCTTACCTAGAAGAGAGTGGTCCCAGAGGGGTTCTAAAGCAAGGCACTCCCCTAGGCCGCCTTTTCCTAAAAGCCTGCTCTATTAATTTGCTTTCAGAGGCAGGGTCTATCCTCCAGAATGAGCCTTTGCCTGGTTCTTCCTGGGAACGCGGGACTTTGATGAAATAACGATTCAGAGAGAGATTGTGGCGTATTGAATTCTATGGAACATAAAAAAACAACGCAGAATTCACATAACTTTTTCTCAAGTCAGCACACGGCCTCCCGCAGCAGCCTGGACCATAGGACACTCAGGGCACAGCTCTTAATTCCTTCACACAACTGGCTCAAGTGCCATGAGGGCAGCGCCGCCAGCCCAGGAAAGGCCCCTGGCACCTTCCCCCCCCCCAAGTCTTTCCCAATCATTCAACAACAGTTTGCTAACCAAGTAGTGTCAGGAATCCCGTTTAACTCTCTCGAAATTGCATCACTACCGATTATCTGAGTACAAAATAGTTCCCAGGTGTCCAAGAAAGTGTCAGGTGGTTTGGAGAGGACGACTAAAACTCAGCAGACACCGGCTGCAGTCCTGCACGATAATCTCCGCAATGCGTGAGGAAAAGGTTAAGTTATACAAGCTGCAAGTGCAGCTGGATGGCTGGGAGTGCCCCCGTCCAGGCTGCCTCAGCAAGGACACCAGAGGTTCAGCGTGTTACAAAGAGCAACGTGTGGCAGCAGCGCCTCGGCGGGGCCTTCCTGCCCCGCTCCTGCACGCTGCTTTATCCTCATTTGGCTGCAAAAACACAAAACGCTTTGRTAGAGGTGTAGGAAACAGCCAATGAGCTCAAGTAAGTGCCCATATCTGTGCTCAGCTTTGCGCATGTCCCATTTTTCAAGTGTATAAATTCAAAACCTTTCCCGAAAAATGGGAAAAGCAGCAGCAAAAAAAGCTTTACATCACAAGAATGTCTTCAAAAATTGCAAAAATGAAACACAAATCCTTTTTTTCAAGGCCATTTTTTTAAAAACGTCCGAGTTCATGACTTTGGCACCAAGTTTCAAAAACTTAGGGCAATGATAACCATTTATGGTTTCTTAAATGCAAACCAATAAAACCAGATATGGTTTTCCCTGCCAAAAAGTGAAACAGAAGAAACATGCCAAGAACATGTGTATGAATTGTATTTATGCTAGAATATATATGCTAGAATAAAAGATGAAATCCAAAAGGACCTGCTAAAATAAGGTCAAGTGAGAGGACTCAGGTTCCCTACAAAATCAGACTTTTATATAATGAAGGACAGAGATACCTCAAAACTGTTTAGGGAGGTGCAGAATTTATGTACTACGGACATATATGTACTATATATTTTTCATAATACATACATGTATTTTCAAATATTAAGGTATCAATCATGCTATTTACACTAACTGTATTGTAATACCTCGAGGCCAGCATGGCTCCTGAGGTCCAGGCTATACCTGTTGGCCTTCCAGCACCGTATGTGACCACTTAGTGAACAGCAGCTCATTTTCAGCTTTCTACTTGCCTTTATGAGTCTTTTATGAGCAGGCACTAATTACTCTGGAACATAGCTTGTGCCTGTGTCCACCACCTCATTTTTCCTAGGTGTTATTCCCCTAAATATGCATGCTGATCTAATACCAACGTTTGAACAACGTGTAACACCACGTGCATGTATTTGGTTACAAGGCGCTTGCGTGAAAGGAGTGCAGTACACACAGATATTCAGGAGAGTAAACGAGAAGCACAAGAACATCTTAAAAACGTGGTCCTAGTGAGAAGAGAGACCCGCTGGTGCAGCCACAGCCGGGATTCCGCGTTACTTGTGTGTAAAAGGGGCCGATTCAGACCACCGGCTTCTTCCCAGTAAGAGGCACTAAGTCCTGGCCTAGGTAAATCATTAGCAAGAAGTTAATAAAAGTGACATGCCCAGCTGTATATTGGAATTCTTGTGAGAGCAATGCAGCTTTCATACAGGCGCCAGGACGAGCAAGTGCAGGACTGACACTGAAGAGCTGCTCCTGTGCCAGGGTCTCCGGCCTCCCACGGGTGCAGCGTGCAGAGCGCTGGCACCTCCTTGCTCTCCCCTCCCCTGGCCCCTCCAAATGTTATTCCCTGAACGTAACCCCCATGCRGGCTGTCCAGCAGGGAATGAGCTGTGTGACGGACAGCGCGGGCTGGGCACGACCSAGCCCCGCCAGCCGCGCCGCTAAAAACGGCACCAACGGCCCCGGCCTCCCACCCCATCTGCCAGCAGTCTGCCAAGCTGATTCATGCTCCGTTAGTCATCCTGGCAAACGCTGAGCTTGCTCTCGTTCAAAATACACAGAAAGCAGAAATTATTTTTTCTTTTTACAGTATTTGGGGTCTGGTGCAGCCAGCAGGGAATGAGCAAGTTCACAAACGGGCAGCGYTGCCCCGGTGAGAAAGGAACCTGCCAGTGTGGGAGAGCAGCAGGTCTCTGTGCTGCACGGCTGAGACCACTTCCAAATAAGTCTGCACGTCTAACATTTAGTGTGTTCATTTTATCTTAAGATGGGAATACACATGTGCACACAATTATAAGCTACAGAACCCAGCTATGTTCCTAGATAGCATGCATATTTTCAAATCCACAGGACTAGTTGTGTTTTTCTTCCACAGAAGTCTGCCTGCAACCCTACCAGAGGTTTGGAGACTGTGTTAAAGGAATGTTTCGGGTGCAGGATGATTTAAATTCTCTGCTCTGTTGGAGCTCTTGCAGAGAAACAACAGCACACAAACATTTTAATGTCCCACTTGTATGACAAATGGTTTTTAAGAGGGGCTGTTAGGCTCAAACTGAAAATAAACTTACATGTTTTAMACAATGTCAATGACCTTTTAAAGCCACCAGGATTACTAAGAACTTAAAAAAATAAAAATAAATCAAATTTACCTGCCAGCCCTTGTCTGCTGTCCTGTAGTATGGATAATTTTTAGTTATGTGCGTATAAATTCCATTTAGTGTAAGCTGCTTATCAGGTGCCATTGTAATTGCTTGTACTATTAACTGTGCATAGGAGTAAGGTGGCTTAGAGTCATCCTGTACAAGAGGAGAGAAAAAAAAAAAGTCTGCATCAATAAGCTTTAAAGATGCACACCCCGCCTTCCTAAACTAAAGTAACAAAACCCAATTAATTGGATTTAAGGCATTTCTTCATAACCCAAATCTTCAACCAGAAGCAGCTGCTAATAACATTCAACTCTTCTGATTAACAGAACATAAGATAATCATAAATACTGCAAACACAAATTTTGAAGAATGCTAATTTTCAAATGCCTATAAACAACTATATTAGTAAAAATCGATACTGTCCCCTCCCGAACAGGGAAAAAAAAACAACAAAACAAACGCTGCACCTGATCACAAAAACCTCTGTGCTGTTTTTCAAGCGCTCAGCGACAAATTGAGGCTTCACGCAGACAGTTTGGCAAATAAAATACCCTGGCGTTACCTTTGCTTTAGACTGGACTAGGGATGGCGACCGCCACCACYGCTTACCTTTGGGCTGTCTCCACCCGAAGCTTCCTTGTCGTTCTCCGACTGCGAATTGTCTGCCATTAAATGTAGGTCAGCTGGTATCACACGACTCATTTTGTACCCTGAAGAGCCTGCACCACGGGGGCTAGACGGGCAGGAATTCGCAGCACTGTAGAGCATAAAGAGAAGATCCTACTATTTTGTTATACAGTATATCACCACATTATGTCTAATCAAAAAGCTTTTCTTCTGCTTTCTTCCCCCTCCAGAAAAGCCCACCAACTAGAGCTCCTGGCCTGCAGTTAAGTATCTGTCACCATTTCCATTACAAATCCCGTTTTCCAAGCATTTCTAACTCATCCACTGGAATTAAAATCACTAGAGGAAGAAACCTGTCAAACACGACTCAGATGTTCCTCCTCAAAGGAAAACGGACTAACTGATTTATTAGGCTGCATTGTATTTGTGTAGAATTTGCCAACAGAAAAGTCCATTTTAACTGCTGAAGCAACCACACATTTAGRGACACTCACTGAAAACAAGAAACAGACCTTGCGTGAAATTCCTGACATATGCTTGCATTCAGTCTGCTCAAAAGAGAGCAGCTCTCCTCATGTATATTTGCACATTGGAGAAAATATAACGCTACAAGCCACGAGAGAGAAAAAAGGTCTTATTTAAATATAACACTACATGATTTTAAGTGTTTGCTGGGGTGTGTATACAAACACATACATTTATATGTTTAAAAAATACACAAATACCTATAAATATGATACATTAGCACTGACTGGTCTAGTTTTACTCAGTATTAAGTCAACTGAACAAATATGGGAAACTGTTACACAGGAAAAATCATCGACAAAYAAGTGAATTAGGATACAGGAATATTTTTTACAAAAAGTATGTACGTTTTTGAATAATTGAAGATAGAGTTGAAGTCAGTCAACTGTGTGTCACATACATATATATTAACTGTCAACAACTGTCATATCTATCTCTTTCTATATATATAGTTTTAACACACATTATATAGGCACGTTAACATAAATATATATATATACACACACACTTTTTTTTTTTTTTTTTATGTGTGCACGTACATACGTATTAAAAAAATTGGGTTCAAGCTTCTCATCACCAGAAATCCTGCACCAATGATTTGCTACTTGTGACACACTGTGCAAGGAACACTGGATTTCTAGAGCTCTGCATGGAAGAATCCTCAACTAGAGCCAAAAATATGTAACTCTCTTTTTCTTTTTTTTTTTTTCTTTCCTTTTTTTTTAAATATAGGTCACTGCTGTTCTATGTTTTCATATACCAACTGACAACATCCTACTGAGCTCCCTTTAGCATATATTGACAAAGCGACACATATGGTATAATCAAAGCAAGTTTACAAGTCTTCTACAAAACAGGCTGATTTGAAGAGAAACTGTCAAGCTTTGCTCTCAAAATAGATTCAAAACTGTCAGCTTTTTCTTCCCCTGTAATAAACTGTAGCTCAACAGGTKCATGAAAGCCCTGAAGAGAATCACAAAATTGATAGTGAGGCAAAGACTGTGATGATGTATGYGGTATTATCTGAAATATTTATGAGCTGCTCTGTCATTTCTTGGGCAAGATATGTTTCCCCTGAAGTTTACTAAGAAAATAAACCTGTTACACAGTCAAGTCTAGATCTCTTTTCTCTCTAATTTCACTATTGACATGGCGGACACTCAACACTACAGTATTGAGATCAAGATGCTGGCAAGCAGGAAGTGAATTATCATTATATTCATATTTCATTAACAAGATCTACAATTAAGAAGAAAAAAATAAGCATATGATTTTTGCAGTGCTTCACTCAAGTGAAGATACAGGATGTAAGAGAGGAAAACAAAACCTGCAAAAGCTCGTATGCAATTTCTGAAACACATCCTTCAGCTCCATTCACATGAYATTCTTGCTCCTGAACTTTCTGACTTTTAAAAATTTGGTCTGAAGAAGTTCTGTGAGTTTGAGAGGACTGCTAGCTTATGCTTAAGCAAATTTGCTCCCAAAAAAGAAAAGGCAGGTGACAGCTTCAATTACGACATTAACCAGGACAGCAAGTCCCGAACCCAAATTACCTCCCMATGCAAAAAGCTTTTCCTGTTCTAAACTCCTCATATTACATTTAATGATGTTCCAGGAAACTTCCATTTACTTCCAGCAAAGACTACTCAAGAACAAATCCTCTCTGATGCCCGAGATCAGTTTGTTTCCCATTGTAATGATGAACAGCTGGTAAAAATAGTATCTTTTTTTTTTTTTTTTTTCCTCCTGTTGATGAGCTTAAGGAGGCTGTGAGGATCAAAACACTTTGACACTTTATGATATGTGTAATTAAGTCAGCGGATATCAAAATCCTTCAAAGGGGATCTCAATAACCGAGATTTATCTCACTGAAAGGATTCCCATAAGCAAAACAAAGCTAAAAAGCAAAAACTAATCTAAACTTCTTGAGGTATGKGCAAGGCGAGAAAAACTGCCGCTCCTTTGCTGTCCTAGGAGCCCGAATCCCGAGCCAAGTGCTACACGTCTCCCCAATTCACCGGGAATCCGAAAGGCTGCTCACGTAACCATCCTCAGAGGCGGAAGCCACGTTCTCCGAGGGCGCTTACCCCGAGCTTCAACTTACATTTAAGCACAGCAGCAGAACACTTAAAGCGCGAGCCGCGCGGCGCGCACGGCCACAGGCCCCGGGCGGCTCCGATACCTGATGGTGCCGGTGGGGGACGGGAGGGGGCTGATCAGGTGCGCCATGTTGTCTGGAATGTTTATGGTGAGGGGCGAGATCTGCGGCTGCACGGGCTTCACCGGCGACGCGGGCGCCTCCGGCTTTTCCCTCTTGTCGCTGGACAGGGCTGTGAACGTGATCTTGATGTTCGTGCTGGGAAACCTGAAGGTACAGCTGCAAAGAAAAAGGAAAACACACGGTATAAGCGACTTGTTTGCTGGAAGGAACGACTTCTGCGCAACTCGTGCTGGTGTCTTCGGTAACTAACTGTGAGCACCAGCATTTAGAGATGTCCAATTGCTTTTTTTTTTTTTGTTTTGTTTTGGTTTTGTTTGCTAAATTTGGAGCAGAAATATAAACAAATCACTTATTTGTGACAAGCATCTGGCCCATCTCTGCGGTTCCTGCAGGTCACCCCGATCTCCCCGCTGTCCCCAAAGGAGGCCACGAGGCCGCTGCGCAGCAGTAACGAAGGAGCAACGAAGGCCGCTGCACCTGCGAACAAGCGAGCGCACCTGTAATATCAAAACTAGGGGGAACACAAATGCCTGCAGAAAGGAGGCCTCTGCAGTCTCCATACCTGTCTAAAAAGCTTTTTTTTTTCCTCCTCTCCCATTCCTAAAAACACTCATTTAGTTAAACATATCTCAGTTCTGCTCCTCAGCATTTGCACATTTGTGGGCTATTTTGCTGTTGTACTACAACAGATATATTCCGTATTTACATTTGAATTTAACAGCTAATGTTCCATAAATTGACCATTTTTATAGATTACTCGCTTCTACATTTCTCCTGCCTCCCTCAAATTTAAATGATAATCTCAATATTTAGGAAATAAACGATGTGYAAATATTGCGGAGGGTTTTTTTTATTTGCAAAATATAATTCATGCACCACGTGCCTCTGCACAGGGCTGTGCGCAGGCCCTCGGAGGCCAACGCGCAGAAGAGACTATTTATGACCTCTCAGTAAATACAGCTTGAGCAAACAAGACGCTTTATTTTCCCTCAGCAAAAGCAGCCCCCAAACCCGGCCCGGGTACCCCGACTCCCTGTCTTGCTCAAATTAAACTGTTTGAGGGCACTGGCACCGAACATGGTTGTTTTTACCCCGCCTTGCGCCCAAGGCAGAGGCGGCTGCCAGCCCTAGCTGGAGGTGGCCCTGGGAGGAGGCTGTCAAAGCTGTTCTGTGGGGCGGGCGTCGCTTTACGCSGCGAGGCCGAGCGAGGGCTCTGGAGCAGGGCCAAGCCGGCGCTGAGGCGCAGGACGCGCCGCAGAAACAGAAGCCATCCCCGCTCCGAGAAAAACCCTTCCCGAGTGACGCAGGAACGGGGAGGAGCGCGCGACTACACGTGGAAAACACGGCGGCTCTCACATGTTTTGCTCTCTCCCTTCTTCATCTAAGCGTGGYTTAGAGCACGGGGTTGCAATGGCAGGGGCTTTGTGCTGCGTTTCTCGTCACACACGGGCACACGTGCTGTGATGTTCCCCCAACACACCAGATACCCACCCTGGGCACTTCGGAGGGAGGAGGAAGAAGAGCCAAAGCAGCAGCACAGGCCTCTCCTTCTGCCCCGGCCTTGCCTGCCCGTATGGCCCGCGGGCACATTTAACAGGCCACCTATTTCCAGGACATGTTCCCAGCACTAAATGAGGAGACAACCCCTGCCAAAAGCCCGCAGGTGCACGTCAGCAGGGGAGTTAAACAGACCCATTTCTGGGTGTTCACAGTCTTCAGGAACTGCTCGCTTTACTTCTGCCCCATAGGAAGTATTTTTATCTCTGTATCACTGCAGCCACAAGCTAAAGGGGCCTCAGATGTTTTGCTAATAAAAAAACCCAAGCGGTTTCTGAACATTTCAGGTAATGACGACACTGCTCCTCAAGCCAACATGCAGGTGACAGTTGCCAGAGGTGTCTGTTGCCAGAGCCTTCACAGTGAATAGGAAACACCCATCCCTGCAGGGAGCTGGACYGGGAGACCGGCTTACATTTCAGGATGAGCTACGGATTGTCCGAGGCTCCTCCTGACCTGAGCATGCAGCTTGGGACCTTTTAGACCAGACTTTTAGGAGCAAGGCAGGAAGACATGGTCGTAGGTCAAGCTGCTCATTCACTGGTCAGACTTCTCGCCTAGCAGGCAGTGCCATGAGGCAGATAGGAGGCTGAGTACCAAAAAGACACAGAAAGACACAGAAAAGGTATGTTCCATAATCACACTAACAGGTACATATTAAAGAAAGAAAACCACATTACTGCACGGTCTTAATGCATTATCTGCCCTGGAGACACGCGGTGCTGAGAGGATCTGCGAGCTGCTTCATCTTCCTAGGTGAGGCTGCAGCTCTGGCCCAGCGCAGAGCTGCCCATCGAGCACGACACAGAAGGCAGGAGCTCTSACCCATCAGTCCGTGGTCAGGAGATCCAAAACGTGAAGGCAACGCTGCCAGACTTCAACACTCCACCTGCTGTGCTTGGAAGCACAATGTTCTTACAGACGACTCCCCCATCTCCACGTGCCCCAAAGGCTACTGCATCAGTTGCTGGATTCATGTTTGCAAGCAAATCTTCTGATAGCAGCATTGCTGGCTTTTTTTAATAGTTGAAATACAGACAAATGCAATAAATGAATAAATAATGCATCAATGGAAACATATGACATCGTTTCCATCGTTTTGGGTTTGAGCTCAGGCTTTCACTGCCCGTGCTTGAGGGGAAGCAGCAGAGCCCGCTCAGCCTCGTTTGCGCTCCTGCTCCAAGGGCTCGCTAACGTTTTATGGAACACGGCCACAGCAGAGGTGCTAGAGAAGAGCTGCATCCACACAACGTGCTTGCAAAAATAAGTCAAAATCTGTTCTCTCTACACCTCATCTACTCAACCAACTACCATTTTATCTTGCTAGGAAGGAGATCCCATTAAAGATAAGAAATCAAATCAATCCCAAAGACCGATCAAACAGATCGCTAAGGAAGGTTTACAGAGGAGCTGTATTTAGAGGTCTGTGATGGAAAATGTGACAGGTACCTAAGAGATGAAAACAAACAGTGCTATTTAGCAGATACACCAATCTTATTTTTGCCATCTCGGAAACAAACAGTCACACCGTTAAATAATTGTATATGTTTATTATGATGGTGATTACTATGCTGTACTTCYTACAGAGTGTCAAGGAGGAGRATACACAGGGTGAAAGCCAAGAAAYTGCAACAGAAGCGACAGGATCAAGATGCAACCCAAAATCCTCCTTCCTTTACTAAAGTTACTTCTGAAAAGGATAAGAGAGAGGAAAAGACATAAGAAGCACCAAACTATTCCAAATCACTCCCAAGAAACAAGACTTAATGCTCTCTCTGCAGCGTGCAGAGCAATGGGGACCTGCCAGTCTCAGCCTTACCGCTATTTAAAGAGCTCAGCATCTGTGCAGGGTGCCAGGTAACAGCCTTGCTGGGAAACATGCAAAGCCCTGTGCATTTGTCACATCAATATTTCCAGTATTTGCTTCCTTTCCTTCAACAGTGCTGCAGGGAAAACCTCCCTATAGGTCTGCAATCCTGCTAAATGAAAACATCAACTGACTGCAAACGAGGGCGCCTGTTCCCTCCCAGCCATGGGATCCAAAACACGGACACGAGAATCACCATCACCTGCACCACTAGCCAAGGGGTTTCCGAGCACGTTTCCTTTGATGGGAGAGCAGACAACGTTGATGCTGTTTATACCTCCTTCTCCAGCTCTTTTTTCACTGGGGAACTAAGGAATCACAGAAATTGCCGTATTACAGATACGGCCTCGCTGCCATGGACGGGCGACCTCCGTAAGCCAAGGTACTGCTTCCAAGTCACCTTTTTGGACCCAAAATGAGACAAGCAGGTCAAAACCAGGGGGCCTGTGAACACCCCCAGGAGCACGGTTATTTTTAAAGGGCAATTTGCAGGGATCTCACGCAAGGGGTGAATTCCTGCCTGTGAGACCTTGGGGCACTAGTGCCTCCTGGCTCCCTTGGTGGCTTCATTTCTCAGCGATTTCATCACTGCAGACTAATAGGAAAGTCATTCTCATTTAAACTAGCTATTATTTCAAACAGATCTGTAAATAAACAAGGACTAGAAGATGACTGCTTATAAAACAGTTATAAATACGCTAGGGGGGAAAAGCTCTTTAAATAAAGTACCATTGCATGTAAATTATTTAGTCTTGGAATAGTCTGTGTATTGTGCTGCAGCAGGGCGAGGAAAGGGGCGCCTTGGAGGACCCGGAGCTGCTTCCCCTCCCAGGGCAACGCGACGCCGGCAGAAACGCTCAGAGCAGCCGCAAGCTGCTCTCGGCAGCACCCAGGTGCTTCTGTCACCTGGGAAGAGCAGCGGCTCTGTCACCACGGCCCCAGCGGCCGCTCCGCTCGGCCCGTCCTTGGCCGGGATCCGCGCTGTCTTGTCTGACCTGCCCATCTTCCGACCTCTACACCAAAGCGCTTCTGATAATTCAGCACTAAGAACACGCGTACTAAATTATTCACCTCCAGGAGTTAAGCACAGGCCAAAGCCTTAAAAATAATTGAACTGTGGGTCAATACTGCAGTGCATTTGCAGAAGGGAACCATCTTTTTGCGACCTAAATAAATCAACAAAAATGACATTTATTAAAAGGATAAATTAAATTGCTTTAAAGCAGAATCAACATTTTAAAGCAGTTGTACATGACTGGCTCAAGAAAAATCAGCTGGGTTTTCCTCCACTTGAGTTTTGGTAAGTGCATGAGAAGTTTGCAGAGCTGCTGCTGGTCACTACAGGACCAGCGCAAAGCCACATGAGGAAGGAGCTGGAACAAGCCCATGATGCCAAAAGATGCTACAAAATCACGGATGRTGATGGGAACGTTCCCAAACTCCAAGCATCAAATACGACCCGAGTGCTAAATCTCCYTTCTGGTCTGAAACGGACGTTCAGCTTTTCTTCCACATGTCAGGAGGTGACACGATCAGAAGCAATGGATGTTTAGCTTCACGTTAGCCGCTATTTCGCTCAGAAAGGACATTTAAAAGTCAAGCCCGAAAGGACACGTGCTTAAATTGTCCAACTGCAACAAATTTCACTGAAACGCAGTGGATTCCATGAATGATTTAATGCTGATCTCGCTGCCTCTCCCCCACTCTTCTGCTGCAGATCGAGC